TTAAATGAGTTTGAAATGATTAAAAACTATTAAATTACAGCAGAAACCTTCAAAGCTCATCTGTGAAGGAAACACTTCAAACTAAACACACAAATTACCTCTTCGCTTTAACATGCAATTTATCCAATGCTGTGAGTGTGATCAGATAAAGCCTGTCTTCGCCCAAGCACATTATGCACAGAAAATATATAATCAACTAACAGTAATTAAGCAGAACTCCATTCAGGCTAATTACCTCACATTAGCATTTGTCACACAAGCTCGGGCCACTACTTTATCTGACTGAGGTGAGATCATGAAAAATTCATGATTTATTATTAATATGACAAGACAACAGAAACAAATAACAAAAACAGTGGGATAGCGCAGATAGAAATACCTAATTTTAAACAAGTTAAACTACAGTGTTCATTACAGCCCTTCCATGAAAACAAACACTAATGCTAGGGATGCACAATATATCAGCCACCATATCGGTGTCGGCCGATATATGTTTATTTTTAATGTTATCGTCCTGATGAGAAAATTTGGCCGATATTTTAAAGCCGATAAATAAAGTATTTCCTTCAGCTGAGACACTTCAGATGCACACTGTTCGACATGAATTGCTTGAAATATGATTGAAATCACTTAAAAAAGGAGTGATTAATCAATGCAACATGTGCAGCGCATGTCTGTCATTTAGGCTACATAGAATTATAATGAGAACACCATTATAATTGTGTGTTCGGGACTTGAATTTTAATGATGAGACTTGATGTAATCAGGCTCGCAATTTTATAAAACTTTGGATTTAGATTTATCGGCCAATATATCGGTTATCGGCTTTCAAATTGTAAAAATTATCGGTATCGCTCAATATTTTCATGTGTGCATCCTTACTTCATCCTATTTACCAGTGTAACACTGACATTCAGCAGAAACCCATCCATCAAACTACAGGTGTGGAAACGGGTTTGTTATCTTTTTAAATCTTGGAATGATTAAAGAGGCTATAAGCAGGAATAAGAGATTAAATATTAAATTAGGTCCTGGCGGTGTCCTTGAATGCCCTGGTGAGGAGAAGCTAAGGGACACAGTTAATGAAGTCTGAAGAATCTGGTTAGGTATTAAAGGAGAAACTAAAAAAAAACACGGATACTGTAAGGGAACAAATGTTGACATTGCAAATATCACCCTTCTTTATCTAAGCAGGGACTCATTTTCCAGGAAACAAGATTAGGACGGAAAAAAAAGAGAAAGTTTTAGACTATGACTGAGTCTAATAGCAGACTGAATATCATTTGCAGCAAGGGGATTTGAAATAATTTCCTTCATCTGTATCAGATCAACGTGACAACTTCCACAAATCACACCGAGGCAGATTGGATTTCCTCCACTCGTCCAGCTGGGGAAGTGACCAGGGCTGTGCTTTTGTGACACGGTACTGAATGAATCTTTTGTTTAATAATGCTTGGCACTGCGGAGTTATTCCAGCTTGGTAAATTCCAAACCGTGGCATGGAGGAATTTCAATCGCTGGGCCAAGTCTCAAAGACGAGTCTGGCAAGGACCAGTGGTGCCTGAAGCCATTCAGATGCAAGTCATTTTAAAAGCTGGAAAATCATGCAGGCTAAAAAATATTTCTGGGTACTTAGAGAAGCTGAATAATATAGTTTATGCTCGTGACGTCACCGTCGACCGGAGTGACTGCGGTTTCACCCACCGAGTGGCAAAAAGACTGATACCTCGTTTCCACCAAAAACGAACTGGTTTGGAACTGGTGCTGGTTTAAAGTTGGTTCAAGTTGCGAACCTTCTCAGAACCTGTTTGTTTTTCCACTGACTAGAGAGCCCAGCGAACGACGTCGTTACGTCACTGTGTACGTCGCCATACATCTTATCTTTCCCATTCCCGTCGTATTGTTGTTGTTCACAGGAACCCGCCCCCAGCCTCCGACGCAAGCATGACGTGGTAAAAGAACGGTTCTAGTCCAGCAAAGAGTTGGTGCCGCTTTGGAACCAATTTTCCTGGCAGAGAACCGGTTCTTTGGCTGTCGAAACACAAAGAACTGGTTCTCGAGTAGGCACCGGCTCCGAACCGGCTCTCAAAATGCTTTGGTGGAAAAGGGGTATGAGTGGCAGCATTGGTTTTCAGTGCCGCGAAGAAAACACAAAACGCATGTAAAACGGGAAAGAGGTTTGAGATTGACTGTACAACTAGATTTGACAAGAAATCTGAGGTGTATTTTTACAGACTGCCGAAAGCTAGAACAGAGAAGCAAATCGATCGCTGCAATTCACAAACAACTGGCAGCGAAAGGTGGATTTGCTATCATTGTGAATATGCTGGATTTAGGGGTAAAAATCACACCCTATATATCGTATTGACAACTCATCAATTAAATATTTACCATCGTATATTCTGCATAATTCAATGTTTTTAAATAAAAACTATACAAGTTTTAGGGCTGGACGATATGATATATATATATAAAAAATTGATATAAGTGATCACTCGGATTTAGATCTACCTTTATTGTATTTATGAAGTGTTCACAGGCAAATTTGCTTTATGTCTTTCCTGTATCGAAATCAGGCTCATATAAATGTCAGGAAACCCGATTCCTGGCTGCATGTCAATATCCACGGATCACTGGATCTTTAGTAAGTTGTGAGGAACACTATATCAAGTCCAAACTTTAGTTTAAACTGCTAATCGTTCATTTTCCCCATTAAATCATCCAGTCACTCAGCAGCTCTTCTGCCACTCAGTCCGACCGAGGGAGTGTGATCCTGTGATCAATGCATATACACTCTTTAACATATGTATTTTTGAGACTGCCAAAGAAACATTGTCAAATTGCAAACACCAACAATAAACCAAATTTTAAAAAAATTGCAGACCCGTCAAGCTGGGTCATTTTTGCATGGCTCAGCTCGCTCATGTTCCAAACAGCTGTTCTGCCCTACAGACACACACACACACACACACACACCAATTAACAGCACCACATCCTGCTGAGGAGCACCTCGGCAGCATCATGGGAGGGAGAAACATGGTGCCAAAAATATCTGCACACCGACCAGCATTAGAGCCATGACTAACCAGGAGTGAGTGGGATATAGAGCGCTGACTGAGTCTGAAATCCCATTAATGAGCACTCAGGCTGTTTTGAAGTGATATGCACCAGGTAATTACCCTCACAATGTATCAGTGAATTCTAACGGATTGTGATTCAATGTGCTTGACTATGCAATCCATCCATTTTAGAGATTGGCAACAGTTAAAAGTGGATTATTGATTAACTTCTATCTGTTTAATCAGAAATCGCGGCTAGCATGACCGATCTACTTGTGAGCGTGTAAACATTTCAGGACAAAAAAAGATTCCAATTATGGTTTATTTACACTGGGTCAGCTTTCTAATTATGCAAGGTCGTACGCCCGTTCTCTCTGCTGAGAGAGTGTTATATTTCGAGCATATGAGACGTGTCCAAACATATCCAGACTGGATTGCTAACTTGCTATAATATCTGAGATTTGGGTAAAATTCCCATGGTGGAGGTGTTTTACAATGAGTGCAATAGAGTTGGGATATTAAAAACAGCTCACAACTGTACCTGGAAATGTGTTTGTCATGTCAAATGGCTTTCTAAAGCAATAAAAGTGTCGCAATCAGGTGTAAAAACACAGGTCTGCTGGTCTCCATGGCACATGAAGCACTGCTTCAAAAATATTCAAGATGACAACTCACTGAAACAGCTTGTGTAAAAATGGCACATTGCTGGGTTAATTGGACAGCATGATGCTTTACAAAACATCTTTCAAGCGGCCCAGCCGTGTCCAACTGGTATTCTAAGTTATAATCACAATGGCAAGAAAGTGTAATTATGAAACAAGTGCATACTTAGTATTTATGTAATTATAGAGTAGACATCGCGAACAATAAAGTAAATTGTGACCCAGTTTGCAACGTAAAGGCAACTTTCCAATAGAAAACTTTACCATGGTAACCAGTTTCTCAAAATATCACAGGCTTTTGACTTTGTGTGCTTTATCTTGTTTAAGCGTTCCTTTAAAACCTCAGGTTAAGGCCACTTATGTCTCCGAGTTAAAAGAATAGGCTACATCACCCAAAACTGAAAATGGTTATGATTTACTCTCCCTAAAATTGTTCCAAACCTTTGTGAGTTTCTTTGTTCTGCTGAACACAAATATGATATTTAGAAGAATGTTGGTAATCAAACAGTTGATGGTAGCCATTAATAGGAAAAAATATATAATGGAAGTCAATGGCTGCAACTTACCAACATTCTTTAAAAATATCTTCCTTTTGTGTTCAACAAATAAAAAAAACCTCATACAGGTTTGGAACAACTTAAGGATGAGTAAGTGATGACAATTTTTCTTTTTGGGTGAACTATCCCTTTAAGCAAGGTTTTCACATTTGGTATTTAAAAACGAGGTTTACACCGCAATCTGGGTTGGTACTACAATGTCATAGAGAGTAGCTTAGCAACAGACAACCAATCATTAAATGCATAGGTGTTTACCTAATTAAATATTCATGCGCTTTGTAAAGCGGCAGATAGCCTACTTTCGCGCGCTGTAAAGTTTTAAACCGTTACATCCGTTAGAACAGTGACGACAACCAAAACAGACATAGGGCAAATGGCGACATTTTCACAGGTAAGCTATTAAGTTATTAGAACGGAGAACAATCAAATTAATTGGATTAATATGCAATTCGTAGCATATTCATCCAGTCAATGTTACTGACCTCATACATTTTAAAATAAAAACGTTTTAAACCTGACTAACCAGGAGAAATTGAAGTAACGTTATATTAGCAGCGTGAAACACGAAGTTTAACCCATTGCTTTAGTGTAACAAACTAATTTGTATCACTTTAAAATGTAACTTCTAAGTTACATGTGGTAAAAAAAAACAACAGTATTACGATTGACAGGGTAATTTCCGAAATATCGCGACCACATGAGAAAAACATAAATTTGAGGACTTACTTGTCATACTCGGCGTTGTCCTGGTCACATCGCGCGTCCTTGTGTTTCTGCCAGTCTTTGCCATGTTTGCAGGTGGTGAGAAGAACTACATCCTCCGCGTTATGAACATGATGTAAGGCATTCCTCGTGTCCGAGCCGATGCCGGTCAAATAGCGTTTCCCCTTAAATACCAACATATACTTTCTAAAAGGTGGAATGGTGTTATATTTCAAGTACCCCCTGTCCCCTCCGGTCCTTGGGTGATCCTTGGAGAATAACGGGATGGATATGTCAAAGTTAGGTCTGAAGTTCTCCATACTGATGCTTGCTTTGGCCAGCATGGCCTGACCAATGTCAAAGCCCAAGTCTTCCGTATAGTCAGGCCATGTGCCCGAATACAAATTAAATATGAGGTGATTTCTACCATTGTTCCAAAGAGGCAAGCTCTGCACCTTGGTTTTGAGATTGTGCACGTACTGTGGCGATAATTGGTCTCGATCAAGAGTGTCCAAGCTCAGGACGAACAAACACGCTTGACCAGGGTCAGAAGTGTAAAACCTAGAGCCCTCGATGGTGGATAAAATGTTCTGGTAACTTTCCGAGATCTTCTCGCCCTTCTGCTGCGGATACACGTAGACTTTGAATCCGTTCCTTTGACATAGAGTGAAGTCGAAGCATGATTGCATGCGGCACCGTTTGCCCTTGTAAACGCTCGAGTTAACGTCTCTCTTCTGCCTGGGCGATATATGCACGTTATATTCCTCCGTGTCCGAGTGGTCCCACGGGATGAAGTGTTGTAAGGGATCGGAAAAGTGCGGCCACGGTTGATCAGGACGATTATATCCATGTCGGCTCCTGGACCCCGTGGCCGCCGGACCCGGGACCGCCCCTCCTCCGAAGTAAAAGAGCAAAACTAGAAAGGCGCCAGTCAAGAGCGAGATCAGATATCGTTTTTTGGCCTGCATGTGTCCAGATCGCGGTGTTTGCAAATAAATCTCAAGTTTGTATCTCAGCAGAAGCAGCCGCACCACCTCCTCCAGCTATAGTACCGCTCCGCCATCTTCCAGCCTGCGAGGATTTACAACTCTTCAGATTCCGATCAGCAAACAGCAAGCGATTGATCAAGCGCATGTGGGCGATTTTACATCGGGCTCCTCGATCTCCCTCGTCTGTCTAGTACTAGCGACATTTCACAGTGCACCCATTACCTACAGCAAACGCACCGGTATGGATAATTATAAACACACAATCAGGTATAAATACTCGCTGATTTAGTTTTCCCGCGGCGGATTAATAAAAGCGCAACGAAACGCGTCGCACCGGAGAGTTGCGGCGGCACTGACTCATGGGGTCTTTGGAGAGCAGGGGGTCCCGTTGGAAAACATGCAAAGTCGTAAATAATAATGCAACGACCGAGGTTTATCTCCGATGCTTTGCGCTTCCAAACCACACGTCCAGGCTAAACTAAAGCGTAACTCCATGCATTCACCTCCGAAACAATAACACACACGGGGCAGATCACCGTAACCTCACGAATCCCTGCATTTCTCTTATTCCTGCGCTCTCCGTGGACCTTCACACACGCAAGAAGTGGATTTCCTCTTCACCAGGACACCGGCTCTGGAAAGCGACGTTTCCCGTTTAGCGAAAAAAAACAACGGGCGAGTTTCACAGGCTGTTTCCTCGGCGAATAAAATCAACTGAGTTCCTTGATCCGCGAGTCCAAACACCTATTTGCTCAGTTGTTCCGATTGTTACTCTGTTACATTCCAATCCCGACACGACGCCAGTGTGCGTGACGTCACGTCATGGTGCATCGTGCGTTTTCATTGGAAAGAGCAACCGGATGGGGCGGGGCTTCTACAGCACCCATTCATTCCCAAAGCAGAGCTTCTCACAGAGTGTGGATTTGGACTTCTAACCACTCTACACATTCAAAATTGAATAACTTTTTTTGAATGTAGATATTTTCTTTTAATTCAGCTTTCACTAAATCATTTTGCCCTATAATGACATTACCACGTCAGAGCAGAGGATTCGTTCTCTTTTTACCTCTTGCTATATGCTATTATTATTTCTATTACATTTCTACCTTAATTATGTGGTGATTAACTTTTTTTCTTTGTGATGATGATGTTACAAGAAGCTTTATTTGCATATAAATGTCATATAAAAGCTTTATTTGCATGACTTCTTATGTAAAATATTGCCAATACAGTACTTGAAATAGACAAAACAGAAGATTAATATAGCTTAAAAAAGAAATTAAGTGAAATGAAGGGAAGCATAGGTGAAAGGAACCAGGTAAAAGACAAAACACCCAAACACTAAACTGTGTTAAAGTTTTTATCTGACTAAATTAATTGGCGATTTTTTTTTACACATTTTTTATTTACTAAGAAAAAAAAAGTGTACAGACAAACAAAAAGCTAGCAGGAAAAAGCATGTTGACAAACTGAATAGAAAATACTGAAAATAAATATAGCTTAAAAAAGAAATGAAGGAGAAAGGGACCAGGTGAATAAAATAGAAAACAGCCACAATTAATTAAATATAACAAATGCTATGACCAGAGAGTGATGGATCTATAATAAATGATCCTCACTGGTGGTGTGATTCTGCCAAATGAAATTGGTTTCATTGGTTTGGATATCTTGGAATAACTTTTGATATTGCCAGATTAAACCCCCATTATAATGACTTAGTCATTATAACTAATTAATAAAATATAACAATCACTGATAACTCTCACCATTGCTGAACAAATGACTTATTCGCGGTTTATTTAACTAATAACTGAAAGACGACGGCTGGATTACCCAACGGATTTGCTTTTATATCTTTCTGCTGATAAGAAGCCCGGGTCTATAGCACTTCCTCTTCCCAAAGCCTCTCGAAGCTTGTGATAAAAAGCCCCAAATTTGGGCCGCTGTAAACAAATACCCGTGTCTGGACGGGGTAAGCCGTGAGTTCAGAGAGTTCTAAGCCCTAGGAAAGACAAAACACCCTTTGAGAGTCCTCTACCCTCCACTGTTCCAGGATCTGATAAAGCGCTCCAGATGATGTAACACACTGCATTCCCTGTGTTGTGGGAAGGGCTGGGCTCAGTGATATGGAGACGCTACACAGGTGAATGTGGGAAGACCACAATAGGAACATCTAATAAACGGGATATGGAACGCAAATACAAATGCTTAACGAAGCCAACTTCAACTGTACTGAAAGATTAATGCCTTTCTAAGAGGATACATATAAATCACTAGGGACAAAAAAAATTAATGACAGACATATTGTGGTGGGAAAAATAACATTCATAACAAATTTTTTTTTAAATCATTTAAAAAAATAAAAGAATTATATAAAGATGTATATTTTAGTTACACAACTAAAATCTCAATAATAATAATTAAATGCTTTTAAATAATGTTAATAATTATATACATTTAAATATAATGATAATAATTAAATACATTTAAATAAAATCAGCATCATTATAATAATTTAAATAAATAAATACATTTAAATATAATAATTATTAAACAAATTAAATACATTTAAATATAATAATAATAATAATTAAATACATTTAAATAAAATAATAATTTAAATAATTAAATACATTTAAATAATATAATATTTTAATACAATAGTGGCCAAAATTGATATCCAAAGGGGATATTTGATTTTATTGTTCCAATGATCAAAATATGAGAAAAACATATATATATATATATATACACTCACCGGCCACTTTATTAGGTACCCCATGCTAGTAACGGGTTGGACCCCCTTTTGCCTTCAGAACTGCCTCAATTCTTCGTGGCATAGATTCAACAAGGTGCTGGAAGCATTCCTCAGGGAGTTTGGTCCATATTGACATGATGGCATCACACAGTTGCCGCAGATTTGTCGGCTGCACATCCATGATGCGAATCTCCCGTTCCACCACATCCCAAAGATGCTCTATTGGGTTGAGATCTGGTGACTGTGGAGGCCATTTTAGTACAGTGAACTCATTGTCATGTTCAAGAAACCAATTTGAAATGATTAGAGCTTTGTGACATGGTGGAAGTAGCCATCAGAGGATGGGTACATGGTGGCCATAAAGGGATGGACATGGTCAGAAACAATGCTCAGGTAGGCCGTGGCATTTAAACGATGCCCAATTGGCACTAAGGGGCCTAAAGTGTGCCAGGAAAACATCCCCCACACCATTACACCACCACCACCAGCCTGCACAGTGGTAACAAGGCATGATGGTTCCATGTTCTCATTCTGTTTACGCCAAATTCTGACTCTAACATCTGAATGTCTCAACAGAAATCGAGACTCATCAGACCAGGCAACATTTTTCCAGTCTTCAACTGTTCAATTTTGGTGAGCTCTAGCAAATTGTAGCCTCTTTTTCCTATTTGTAGTGGAGATGAGTGGTACCCGGTGGAGTCTTCTGCTGTTGTAGCCCATCCGCCTCAAGGTTGTGCGTGTTGTGGCTTCACAAATGCTTTGCTGCATACCTCGGTTGTAACGAGTGGTTATTTCAGTCACTGTTGCCCTTCTATCAGCTCGAACCAGTCTGGCCATTCTCCTCTGACCTCTAGCATCAACAAGGCATTTCCGCCCACAGAACTGCCGCTCACTGGATGTTTTTTCTTTTTCGGACCATTCTCTGTAAACCCTAGAGATGGTTGTGCGTGAAATACCAGTAGATTAGCAGTTTCTGAAATACTCAGACCAGCCCTTCTGGCACCAACAATCATGCCACGTTCAAAGTCACTCAAATCAACTTTCTTCCCCATACTGATGCTCGGTTTGAACTGCAGGAGATTGTCTTGACCATGTCTACATGCCTAAATGCACTGAGTTGCCGCCATGTGATTGGCTGCTTAGAAATTAAGTGTTAACGAGCAGTTGGACAGGTGTACCTAATAAAGTGGCCGGTGAGTGTATATATATTTTTTTTTAAATATGAGGGAAGAACAAACACTAAACTTGGTTAAGGTTTTATCTGACAAAATAATTTGGTGACAAAAAGGCAAACAACAGCTACAGGTTGACTTTTACTACGTGCAAAAAAAAAAGTGCACAGAAAAACTAAAAGCTGACAGAAAAAAAGGATGCGTTGACTGCAACATAATCAGTAATCAGTAAAATATTTTTAATGTGTGTTAAATTTTTTTGTTGTTTCATTGCGTTAACACTGATAAAAGCACAACCACAAAGTAAGGCTTACAAAAAAAACTTTATTAATATTTAAATTTTGAATAATATTTAAAGATGTAAATTTTCCTAGGCTGGCCACTACTGTATAATAGAATCTGCCATTGTCTTGTAAAATGTTTAAAATAAAGCATGGAAAAGCTGCATGTTTCTGTTTGATGTCTCATAGCTGTGTATTGTTGATGTCTTTCGCATTGTTCATGCTTGCACACTCTATTGTGTTTTTTATCTCGCCGAAGCCAAACAAGCACAGCTGTTTAGCTGCAATGCCATGGCTATGCTTTCAGGGGATGTTAATATATCAGGATCCCGTTCGAGAGCCGACAACAGTTGAAGAATCAAGCAGCGCTCCGTGACTAACACAGACATAGCCGTTGAGTAGGTGTGGATTCTGAAGTCCTGCTCCTCTTGTTTAACTCTCTCTGGTGCCCTCCAGGCAAATGAAGCTTTAGAAGAGAAAGAAAAAGCACAAAACTGGCACACAGCGTCTTTAACGCATGAGTGTGGGATGGCGAGATACCTCCTCGTTGCTTTATTTATTTAAAATGACCTTTCCGTACTGGAACGGAGTTCGCTCTTGGCAATGCGAAGGTTTAAATGTTGGAAGATGTAGGAGGGGAGAGCAGCAGAAACCAAACCCAAGAGAGAGAGTTAGAGAGGGAGAGAGAGAGAGAGAGAGAGAGAGAGAGAGAGAGAGAGGGAGAGAGGAGAGAGAGAGAGGAGGAGAGAGAGAGAGAGAGAGAGAGAGAGAGAGAGAGAGAGAGAGAGAGAGAGAGAGAGAGAGAGAGAGAGAGAGAGAGAGAGAGAGAGAGAGAGAGAGAGAGAGAGAGAGAGAGAGTCAAATCGCAAGGAAAAAAGAGCTCGAGTGACTCCAGGGAGAGCAAGGCGGTAAATGAAGCAGAACAGGTTAGATGTGTTGATAGGTTTTTGTCCTCATTAAAAAAAAGCCAAGTTCTTGACTTCTGAACCCCTTCATTTGTATTCTGTGGCAATTTATTCCACACAGATTTAGTCTGGAGAATTGGGTTAGATTGCGGTGGTGAAATGAGAGTTTCTTTGCTAAACTCCAGCCAGAGGATTCTTCACATTTGGCTCTGTTTTTTCAACTTACATGATTAAAAGAGAGAGAGAGCGAAAGAGAGAGAGAAAGCAAAAGTACAGGCAGAACGATGCCCAGAAGTACAGCGGTACTTCAGTTTTCAAATTGAGTCATGAAAAATTAGCATTAATTTAACTGCATCATAAACAAAGCTACTTTTTTCTTTAATTATTATGCATGCAGGTTCATGAGCTCATAAGTAATTAATATTCAGGTGAAGGGTGTAATTCATGCACCACTAACTAACATGGCAAAATTAATGATTGTTTTCATACTGGTTTTCTCAACATTCTGCCCAGTTTGCCATTGGTCGGGCAAACGGACAGTCCTTCGCTAAATTCAATGTTGCCATGCTGAGTGTTTAAAGTCCTCCTGTGAAGCTTTTAATGTTGTTTATGTGTCTATGTGGTGTTTTTAATACGCTTTAACTCAAACCATGTGTAAGTTCATAAGTCGACAGCATTGCTGAGTATTTTCT